CGAAGAATCTCGCGTTATTTATCAACTTCCGACATAATTATAATATTAGAGATAATATTAATTATCCGACATAATTATTATATTTTACGATGCCTGCAGAAATGACGTCAAAAGTACATAGCTAAATGTCATTTCTGAACGGTTAGAAATAAAAATTACAGTGAATTTTCTTCAAGGCGATTTTATATGAAGTATGCATGCTGTATATATACATACATATATATTGTATTATGGCGCGAGATTAATGAGATCGATTTTACGTTTACGTGAAGTGAAATGGTGTCTTTATGCGATATTTTCATTATTGAGTCTATTTCAATTTTTTTAGCACTAAAAATATCTACTATTATTTTTTCTATTATTATAACTACTTTCCTCACCGTGCTATTGCACTATTCTCTCGCGATAATCGAAAGATAATCTGCGAGAATATGAGGAGACTTGATACTAATAAAATCGTAGCATATGCATGCAGCTCTTGAACGGAGACTGCCTTACAGTTGCGAACAATTTGCGGAGATAAATTGTCCGCAAATTGTTCACTATCTGCGTTATATGGACATTTAATCTAATAGTTTGATTGATGTCTAACGTTTATAAATTTGTGATATTCACAACGATGGTTGTGATATTCACAAAGATGGCTTAGTGCTACGTGTCGCGTGCATCATAGTGCGCAGCTCTTGAACGGAGACTGCGCCTTACAGTTGCGAACAATTTGCGGAGATAAACTGTCCGTAAATTGTTCACTATCTGCGTTATATGAACATTTAATAATAGTTTAATCAATCGTTCGTCGTTTATAAATTTGGGATATTCACAAAGATAGTTGTGATATTCACAAAGATTATATGATGTAGTTACGCATACACTACCCCACACGAGAAATATTTTAGAGAATTGAAAATTATCAATATGATTACCGTGCTAATCTATGAATATTGCTGGTGCATTATTACTCGAACTACAGTGCAATCGGTGCATTTGAAACGAAAATTAATATACTGCTGCTCACGACACCACACGGTCACTATAACTAAACGTGTCACCGTATAATGCATCTATAAGTTGTAATCTAACAACAAGTAACGAAATGCCCGATGCTGTATCGCTATTTAATCAATCTTAACATTGCGATTGTTCAAACGATCGTCTTGCGACAGTTGCGGACTGAACTAACAGCTTCGTTTATATTTTAAGCGAGATATCGAATGATATATTGCAAACAAGAAGAGTGTTGCTTTAAATTAATTTAATATATTTTCACTTTTAGAAAAATATATCACATAATTGCTATGTGTTTTCTAAACTTTACACAAGACTTGATGTTCAAATAGTGGTATAGTATCCGACAAGTCTTTAAGAATTGTTTTCAAGAATTTGTAAAGTTCTGAAACAAGCTTTTCAAAAATCAGAAAACCCCATTCAGAAAAAAGAATAAACTTATTTATTACATATATAAAAATTTACTAAGAAAAGCGATCAGTCGAACAAGATACGGACGCAAAATTTTCCTTCTTACAGACAATCCCGAAGATCACAGTTACAAGGATTTCTCCGAACAAACAAACCCTAAATCTATCCATTCTGCCGATGGCAATCGGCGTCAGTGATTTGACTAGACTTGCACAATCACGCGTTGCTGCTTCTAATTCCCTACTTTATCTAATGCCTAAACTCGCACCCCTGAGATATTCTTCAACCTGTAACCGCGTCTACGCATCTAGTGCTGATCGATTAATCTCCGCGCAGTGACGTGATTATGATTGTTTGATTGCTCTTCTCCGTACCGTGGCGTCAGCTCTGAAAATGGAATTCGAGATCTGTTTCGTGTGCGTCAAACTGTTAAATCTTTCATGTAAATCTTTGCGTTCTTGTTTGACGTTTAATTGCGCAATTTGTTTTCCTAATCACGAGACTCGCTAATACGAAATAATTTTTCCAGTGCAAAAAAAATGATGAAAAAGAGAATTCTAATGTATGAATTATATTTAGATATTTTCAAGGATGCAATTAGATATATAGAAATATTAACTACGTCAAAAATTGTTTGAAAGAAGAAAGTTAGGGACTAAGACATCTGTTTTACTTGCATAAGATCCGCTGTTAAAAATATTCAGTTTGTATGGAAGACAATCTATCGTTGAATACTTTTTATTTAATGTCACAAATCGATACAAACATCATCTTATCTTTCTTGGTACTCCATGAGTAACAAAGATAGAACGATATTTGTGTGAAATGGAAAGCAACTATTGGAGAATTGAAACTCGTTAAGATTGCAATTATTTCGACGGAAATTATGATATATACAAAAACTTACTTTTATACGTAACTTATTCTTTTATCTCGATACTGCATTCATATAATGAATGAAAGCTCAGACGGTGCGCACATTTCTCCGCCGCAGTGATCATCAGTGAAGAAACAGCGTGTTTTACCGAATATACATATGTAATGAGATCGAGCTTTATAAAAAGTATAAACGATCAAAAGTATCACTTGGTAAAGTGCAATGTCTGCTCAAAATATCTACTTCATTTCGTTCGTCGCAAAAATTTACCAATGTCGTCATAACTTACGTCTTCCGAAAATTATTTTTATTTACTATATTTTTCAATTGTTTCCTGATATCGCGAAAAACGTGATACGAAGGACACTTCAGTGTCAAGGCACATGAAAATTAAACTGTTAGTTATTTATTACTTATGCAGTTAGAAAACCGCGAAAGAGATACGAAATCGTATAATGACAGATTTCTGTTGTTACATAGAGATTTCTAAATGAAGCGCTGAAAATATTATGTAAAAAATTGATAGCGCTACCCAAATTGGGTTTTGACTTTTCCCGAAGACAAGACAAAAAATCCATCTAATTTAGAAAAATTAAAACCCAGAGATTTGCTTAGAGATCTTAGTTATTTTATTTGTTTGTATTAATAGCGTATATTTACTTTCTTGTTTGTAACACAATTTTAAATTTATTTTAATATCATTTTATTTGATCAAATTATATCGTCAGCGCTTCAAATAAAATTATACTTTCAAATAAATCGCTCTCCTCGTCAGTCATTTAAGTCTTTCTTTTTATCTCTATCAACTGATTATATATTAATATTTCTCGAATGTTTTATCACATTTGGTAACTGCTTTAGTCAGCAGAATTTAAATTCGCAATAATAAATGCGTAATATTGATCCGTCCTGTTTTCAGAGCTGAAACCACGGTCGATTGTCTCCTGATCTCTTTTTTAGTCTTATTTTATTAAGTTAAATCTGCGACCATTCGATGAAAACTGTTTCTTCGTGCTGTGCTTCATGTAGTTTTAGTTACATTTAATTGGTATATCTCTTCCGGTACTACGCATTCAGCCTGTTAGCACATATGTATATATTTGCAGATCTATGTATCGGGATTATTCCGTCCCGCGTTGTACGATTCGCATGCCAGATTTTCGATCAATTTGACCATTCATTTTTGTTCCTGCTGCTAAAAGATCCATATGATTTCTTAATGCTAAAACTCAGCCACTAAATTTTCATAAATTTTCCACCGACGGCGTGGTCGCCCTGTGCAGCTATACTGACAACCCGCGACGTGTGAAAATTTAGGAAAAGAAAATGTCGCCACTCTCGGGATGCGCGATAAATTTTTATCATCATCGGGAAATCTACACGCAAGATATTCTCGTTGGAAAATTTATTAACGTGCCGCGAATCGATTCAATGACGCGTAATCGGATTAAAATTTCACGGATTTAGATTTGATCTGGAAAAATTTGATGTTTCGCGATTTTGAAAAACTTCGCCCATCCCAGGATATCTTAAAAACTACTTGTGCGCTTAATAATAGAGACAACTACACATACATTCTTGCAACTTGTAATCCTCGATGAAACCAAACGACCGCTTGCAGTCTCGGTTAGCCAAAATGTTCAGAATAATGCCCGAATCTCCTCTTTTTTTTGTCGTCTTCGATTATCTCGAATGACATAGGCGTACGAATATTTTTACAAACACTGCGAGATCGCCCAAAAGACGCCCATTACCTGCCTTAATTTCTATCTCGCAATGCCTTTTCCCTTAATGACAATATGACACACGACGATCCGAACGTTAAGCCTAAAAGTGGGTGCTCGAAGTAAAACCGGTTGAGGAGATGCCAGGGGCCTACGGAGCGATTCCTGTCTTTATAGTGAGTAAGCACGCTTATAGTTGACGTAAATAGTTTTGCTAAATATCGCGGTAGTAATTCAACTGACATCAAACTGATATTAAATGAGGTGTCATTTTCTTCAATTGAACTTGCCTGCTTTTAACTCGTCAGTGTATATGGATTATATAGAGCCTACTTTATACTCTTCAATGCTGTATACATACATATGATCATGATTCTTTCGCTATACAGAACCTACCTCACTACAGTGCGTTAGCTTATTAAATTGTTGAAAGAGAACATTTTAATCTCTTTTGGTTTTTTCCCCTAAAACACACACGCAATAATCATTACCAGCTTATTTCATTAATCATTACCTCACTTGGCTTGATTGACATTTATAATTAAAGCGCTAAAAGTGCGAGTAGATCAAATTCAAGTCGAAGTTTCAAGGAAATTTAAAGCAAATAAGAGAGTTGCTTTGGCACCTTAAACCATATGATTTGGATTTACGTACTTTTAACGCTTTAATTAAAAGGTAAAATAAGAGCTTTTATTTTACCATAACCTTCGGTTAAATTTAAATAATTAGTGCACTTCGCGTGGCATGCAGTCTCGCGAGTTTCCTACGACAATCTGCAAATATATAGATATTTACATGCTCCTCGTCAACTTTCGCATAATCGGCGCGTCGAGTGTGATGCCGCTTTATTCGTGGAACATGCTTAGGGATCGTCGGAGAAGTTCATGAGTTCGTGTTATTGTTGCCGACCTATTATCATTAGCTACCTCATCGCGAGAGTGCCCGACGTCTACACTCTCGCTACGTCGGCCATATCTTGTGGTCTACATGTCGCCAAAAATACCGGCAAAAGTCTTTCGCAGATTCTTCATTGTGTCTTCAGTATCTTCACCCGGAGCCTGCGACTGGCTACCTTGTCGATGGAACGGCACCCTAGATGGTGGTGGTTCTTCAGTACGTCGGCCGACTGAAGGCGCGCTGCTTACCGTACTTGATTGAGAAGCTATGAGAATCGAAAATAGAGAATGTTATACCAAACAATGATTACCTTCAGCAGAAAAAACAATTTTGCAACTGTTAGAAGACTTTTTGGTACCATTAGTTTATACATGTAGATTTAGTGAGGAATTAGGGGCATGAATCAATCATGTTAAAGAATCTTATAACAGTTGCAAAATTTGTTTCTATTGAACGCAATCAATGTGCTGTGAAAAGTATTATAAAATGGCATTCTCAATAGAGAATAAGGAATATTGAAATTTATAGATATTGATAGAAATATAAAAAGAAAATAAATAGTTTCCAATTAATTAATTGATATAAGATTATTTCACAGAATTGTATTTCCGGTTAAAGATAGTAAAATAAACATTCTATTATCTTTTATTTTAAAAATTAAAATAAGGGGTATTCCAGTTGTCCAAATCTTTATACTAATAGTCTATAATAATATTCATCTTTGAGAATTTTGCTTTTATTTCACTTCTCTCTCAAAAGTAGAATGAACGCGAATGCGCAATTTTTGAAAATTTTATATTTTAAATTAATTAAATTTTATTATGACATAAATTTCCTTTGTGTAATTATGATATAATCAACTCATAACTAGTTCTAAATTCGTTATCTAATAATGCTGAATTTTATTCTACATTCAAACATTACATTCATTTTATTTCCGAGAAGAAAAAAATAAAACTCTGGATATTCGTAAAAATAAAACAAAGAATCCCCATGTTTTACCTAATACGATCTAGTATTTTTTATCTAATCAAGTTCGATATATTTATAAGTTCTTATATTTAAAACTATTTTAAATACAATCTTAAGATATAAATCAATCACAAAGCCGTTAGCGTTCTAAAATATTACTTAAGACAATTTTAAAATAAGAACTAGCTATAAATATACTGGACTAAGTGTAGAAATCAATTATATTATAAAGAATCATTGAGCGCTTATTGAATGATAAACCATTTAAGCAAAAAGTTATGGTTGAAAAGGGAAGGCAGTCAATAAGATAATTCAATTATCGGCATTTGCTCGGATAAAAGAAATGCGCTACCCTCATTAATATCTAAAGCTCTAGCAAAAAGATATGCGCATACCTTGAGAATCGCGTCGCTGCAACTGATGATGACTGTCCGAGGTAGTGACGTCGCCAGTTATCGGTGCAGTGGAAGCCACGGAACCTAAGCTTCCTATACTACCCATAGAGCCCATACTTCCGTGGGATCCCAAGGGTGCGGTTGGAGGTGCAGTTCGATCTTCTACCGGACTACCCACCTGACTAGAACCCGACATCGAACCCCGCGAGGCCGTTTTCGTCAACATACTCGGAGGTCGACAGTAAACCTGAAGATATTTTAATTGATAAATCGATCCCGAATTACTTAATTGTTCACGATTGCCACGCACCTGCATCTTTGCGGTAACCAATTCAGCGATGTGACGTCGATCCTCTTCCTGAGAGTCACCCATTAAGGATAACGCGCTGTCGTTGACCTCGATAATATGCTCCCGACCGTCCTTGCCCACCAGCAGTTCAATCGCACAGATATCCAATCCTCCGAATAATTGTGCCACGTGATCGACCCATGTGCGATGTCGTTCGCTCACGGAGAGCTGTTCTAGCATAGCCGATCCGGTGTTCGATTTCCAGTTACCGCTTATGCTTTTCCGCCTATAAAAGATATATGCGTATTATAAAGAACAATTATTACTGCAGTTACTTAATGTATCAAACAATTCAGCTAAACTCCTTGTAATTATTATTATTAATGAAAATTGATAAAAAATTTAATTTTAAAAAATTGGAAGAAAAACGCTAATTAAAAAAACTTTTTATAAAGAGTTTTAAAATATTATATTTTGTATGATTAACATTCTTTCGAATGCTTAATTTTTCAAATTCAGAATGTTATGCTCTTATGTCATTTATATTTTTCCGCCTATATAAAATATATGCATAATAAAAAATAATTATTACTGTATTTAACCTACGCGAAACACAATAAACTAAATTTTTTTATCTATTACTATTATAATTAAACTTAATAGAAAAAATTTTAATCCCAAAAATTGGAAAAAAATATGCTTAATTTCTTTAAATTCTTTTTAAACGAGTTTTAAAATATTGTTTATGATTATTCAAAATTTAAATATTCCTGAATGCTTAATTTTTAAACAAAATGTTATATACGTATGTATTTTACAGTACTTGGACAACTTACATGAAAGCTTTGTAATTGTTCCCGATTTTCTGTACATGCACGTCGTACTTGGTGTCGATGTAAGGTTCCGCTGTACAGTAAGTGTTCGCCATAGCTGCCAACGAAGCGAGATCTAGAAATTCCTGATTTGTTTCCGCACGGGCCTTGCCGGTTCCGCCGTGGGCGTGGCCCAATTTCACTACGACGGGATATCGAGATGCACTCACCTGTAATCGGAATAGATAATTGCTCCATGAGTTGTTAGGGAATAATTAGTACGCCAGCATCCTCTCAATGATCATCTCCTTCGTAATTGCCACCGTCCGATTGGTAATTTCTGACCAACATAATGTATGTTTCTGCAATTCGCTATATGCATTAATAACACGAACAAAATGTCAATTGTTATCTGAATACATTGCTTATTATACATTTTACACTTGTAATGATGATTGCAATATTTTAATGTAAAAAAATTATGTAGACGGATATAAATCTTTAGAATCTTGAAAAACATTTATATTTTGTAAATACTGTTTTGCATTGCATTATAATTTTTAATGTTTACAAAGATTTTATTTAATATAATTTAGTGAATGCCTTTTTTACAAGCCGACACAGGTTATTGGTATGTAAACAATTTTTTATTTCTTTAAAAATTCGAGAGTAAATGTTTCGATCTCTGTTTTGGGTTTTCTTGAGTACAATAAAATTTAATCGATGCTTATTAAATAATAACAGCGTTAATACCGTGACGTTTTAATTAATGTTACTATTTTATTTAATGTTTAATAAACATAAATAAAATAATATTAATTGAAAAATATTATAGATCAAAGTGACGATACAAAATATGTAGAATAAATATTGCAAGATAAAATTTTATGAACGAAATTCAGTTTAAATGTAATATTTTTGCAACACTTGCCGATAATGCAATATTCCTCCATTTAAAATGATGGCAGAGTAATTCACTTTCATATTGACCATAAAACGTTATTTGCCATAAAATATTTAAAATTACATTATCATTACTTTTTATGATATTATTTGACGTAAATTTAACATACTTACGCAAAAATGAGATTTTAATTTAATTCTTTCTTTGTTATAATACAATAATCGTGAATTTTATTTTATTTTACATTAATCGTATTATATAAAGAAGATACAAAACGAGAGAGACATGTTTCTCAGAGTATCCCGTTAGCATAGATAACCATGGAATTTCTCGATGTGATAGAAGAAGGACATAAACGCGAGAATTTAAGTACATGCGTTGCTCGTTGAATCGAATTTGTATAATATTTATTAGATTCTTCGTTTGTATTTTTTGTATTTTCTATATTAATCTGTCCTAAGTATTTCCCATTACATTACGTATCTAATTAATTATCATTTTTTTTCATTGCCAGTTGAATTGCTGATGTGTATAATATAGAACCGACATCAAATATAAAGATAACTAAATTTTAATGAATTTTAGTAAACGTCAAAGAAAAGAAAATTATAACTATCATTATAGACATACATTACATAAATGATTAATAACGTTATAATAAATAATCCGAACATATAGTTATAACTAATAAAATATTTCTAATATATGTAAGTATTTATAATACCTGCTATATATATATATAAATATAAAATATACATAAAAGACTAAACTTGAAATACGCATTAGACATTACTAGCTAAAATATAAATTATGCATTTAAATATTTGTTAAATAGAATTACAAATTAGATATATTTAAATTACCGTGTAAGTGCATTGTACATTTTGTTATATGATATAACAACTTGTGGAATATAATAAGAAATTAAACCGTAAACGTAAATTTCGAATCAGTTTATTCATTTTGGCCTATCTTGTATGACTTATAAGATAAGACTTACAATGTTATCCCTGTCGCATGATCAATAATTTTTTGCGACCGCACGGATGGAATCTCTGCTAAAATAATGCGATACCTCGCCGTTAACGATCTGTTTACAGGCGGTATGGACATGAAAGAGGAAGTGGCTGTTTAGTATCCTGCTCCCATGCTAGTTGAACGGCCGTATCCGGACCCAATCTCCGGCAATATATGTAATATCGCATGGCGTGATAGGAGAGTGCTCAATCTGCTCGTGTAAGAGCACATGTGTTCGTATCAGCATGTGGGTGTTAAAGAAGTGCTTTCCGAGCACCGGTTGAAACCGCATATCGCTGCACACGTTGGAAAAGGATTGGCGAATGGTTGAAAGTGCGCGATTGTGAGAAATAAATAGAAAGATGTTTGATATAATAAGATTTAAAAGGATAAAAGGTATATAAGAAAGAAAATTAATTATTTATAATCGTCGTCATTTATTTTAATACCGTTATGTCGATATTATGAAGCGAAAGTTGCTAGAGTACTGATATAGAAGAACGTGTGTACTGAGGAAAAAAAGATTCAATTGCGATTAATGATATAGGAATTAATTGAGGAATGTTTAATGGCAAGATGCATAGGAACGTTTCGATCTCAAAAAAATAATATAGAAGATGAAGAACGGAATCTGAGAGATAAGAAGCGAATGCAAAGATCGAAGGTGGCGATTGTTGTAGCGAGAAGATCTCGAAGTGATCTCGAAACCAGCGGACGTGACTCTAGGCAACGGATGTAGAGTGCGGTAGGTAAAAGCTCTTACTGTACGAGGACCGAGAGAGATAGAGCAGTAGACGTCGATAGTGTAAGCGGTATTCACAGGCAGGACTTAGAGTAAGCTTAGATGTAAGCCTTAAGCCAGGCTGAGATAATCGCATAGTGAGTTTTCAAGGTGGCCTTCGCGTTAAATCGTCTTTTCCTTAGCTCTTCTTAAAGTACGGCAGGTATGCGCACTTTCATAATGGCATCTCTTGAGAATATAGCCTAAGAAGAAGACAAATAGATCCTAAATGTCAAAAGCTTGATCAAGCAAATACGTAGAACTATGAAATTGGAAATGATTTGAGGTCATCCTCAGAAGTGAAGTGACCTTCATGAATCATACCGTCGGGCTTGTCTCGATTATGAATACGACCATACGAAAGAGAGGCAAAAGGGAAGTAAGGCAGAACGTATACACATGTATTACAAAGAGCGGACCAAGTATTAATGGAATTAATCATGCATTCAAACGATTTAGCGAGAAATAAAAATATTACGTAGATTGATTTAGTCTTCCAAGAAAATCATTTATAGTTTTCATGGTTTAGATATATTCTCTTTTTATTTTCAGAAAAAAGTAATGAAATCTAAAAATATCTTCTTGGCTTAACGAACTCAATTTCCGACAGATAACCACATTCTTCGTATAAACCGCTACGTGAGATGACCAGATTAAATTAAACTGGAGCAATCGGAGCGGCATTGATTGGAAGACAAGGACGAATCATGAGAGATGGAGAACATTTAAGAAGAGAAGTGAAAAGGTCGAAAGATTTGTAATCGGTAGGAGCAAGAGGCGAACGCGAACGCGAGGAGATCAGAGGCTATCGGACGAGGATAGTCGTGTCTCATCGATAGAGTAACAGAGAGAGGGAGTACGACAAGGATGGAGAACGTCGGCGTCGAAGATCAAAAGAGAGAAGCGACGAGAAAGAGAACGAACGATGGTGAACGAGTGTATGCGTCCGGTGGAGAGGGAAAGAGCAAAAGAGAGACCACGAGGTAAACGGACAGGGAAAGCCCAGGGAGAGAGGGACGGGTAAAAAGAGAGAGAGAGAGAGAGAGAGAGAGAGAGCACGAGCCAGGAGTCCGACGTAAGAACGTAGGAAGGAACGAGAGCCCGGCGTGTCGCTCGCGCTTGCATTGCTTTTCGAAGCTCGCGCGCGATCGGTCGCACGCTCGCGAGGTACGTGCGTGGTGCAGGGAATCGTAAGACGTAGGCGCACACGTGGTGAGAGGGAAAAGGAGAGAAGATCCCTCCGGACCCGTTCCACGCTTTCTCTCTCTCTCTCTCTTTCTCTCTCTCTTTCTTTTTCCTTTCGCGATCGATGTTATCTCGCGACGAGGATCCTTCTTGCGCGCGAGAAAGTGGCCGGCTCCTTGAGATCACGATCGAACCCGCGGAAAAGCGCGAGTGCGGTTTTCTCGGCGATATCGATTGGTCACGCAGCTTCAATTCGGTGATTATTATGCCCGTTGATCTGTGAGATTCCAAACGCAAAGAAGAGACAACGGAAAAAGGCGGAAGAGACTGCACGGAAGAGTCTTCACGGGCGTAGGATTGAAGAAAGGGGGGTATAGAGGGTCATCAGAGAAAGGTAATCTGTACACTGCATTGTCAGATTTCCGTGATTGCATATACGCTTCATGTGCGATCATTTCTGTGAAATTCCCGAATGCATTTTGAATTACAAAGGAATAGGGGTTATGCAGTTTGAAGTTCAATTTGCGCAATGGAACGGGAAATTCATAATCAGATTATAGATGGAATTGAGGTGTTTGAACTCGAAATTCACCTCTCTGCAAACGAGCGTTTGCAAAAATTAAGATATCTTATGGAATATAAAATAATGAGAGAATAATACAAAATTTTTATTTATTTTATATTTTAAAATATAGGTACAGATATTAGTAAAAACAATGCGCGAGAAAAACATAAGACTCAATTATACAAAATACATGTATTATACAAAATACATGTATTAGTTTCATTTTTTTGACTTAATTTAATAATTATTCACATACAACAAATGACATTTTCGATTATTATTATAATACAATTATAATTAACATAGTATATTGGAAATATTAATATTGAGGATTAGACTTTTTAATAACATATTTAGTTTTATAATTATGAAAATATTTGAAATTGAAAGTGTTGTTCACAGAAATATGTTTATTAAATTGCAAACAAATCTATCAGTTTCTGTCAAGATTTAGCAAATTTTAGAGATATAACGGAAATAAGATAAATGAAATGAAAATGTGATTGAAGGAAGTAAAACGCGGCACTCAAGTTGAATAAATAGAACGCCTGAATGTGTGGTCAAACGAGTCAATCTTATGAGTGTCGATCCATAAAGGGTTGAACCGGGACTCCCGTACAATAAATAGTACCCCGTAGAGAATTCATATAGTAAAAATAGGAGAATACATAAAACAAATAGACGAGTGATTTCTCGATGTTTGACATAAATGAAGTTCAAAGAAATGTAACTTTTTATATCATAAATATATTAAACAGATTTTTAATGGTAACATCGGAAAATGTGATATTGATTTGTATTAAAAAAATGTTAATTCCGATAAAGTTTTTACAAATAATTTTTCATAAATGTTCAATTTCAAATAAGTGAAAAGAAGTAAAGAAAGTTATTCGGTTAAAGCAATTTTGGTGCTTATATAATAATATTAATAAGTTCGCTTTAATGAAATAAAGTCTTTGCACCTTCACTTATTTGTGTTATTCACATATGATCCAATTTTTATATTTTATTAGTGTTTATTTGATCGAGATTCAGTAATCTTAGAATAAAACATTCAAAAGAAGATAAAATATATGCAAAGGAAAATGTTTCAACAAAAATAGGGCGATACTTTTTTAAAATAAAATCTTTGTCGATCAATTTGTGAACAGCTTTGTCTTTGTGACCTACGGCACGTCTCTACACGCGATTCATAAATAATGACGTCATCTGCAATTACAATATGTATAACCATCGTGCGAATGACGATTAATACGTCTCGGACGCGCGTTTATGACTCTCGTGTCGTTGATGAATGCTGTGTGAAGATCGATGAATTTCTAGCATCGATACTACTAATAAGCGATTAAAAATTCAACATTTAGTACATAAAATATTTAGTACATAAAATAATAGGAAAACATGAAGGGAGGTAAATTTTCCGTTCTCGTGACAAACAACTATTAATATTAATAAATAATCATCAGCGAGTCTATCGCACCCATTATAGATGTTAAATCTTTTCCCGGACGGATTAAAATCATGCGTGTAATAACCAGCCTCGCGTTTCGGAGCGCGAGAATTATGATCTCTATATACTCCAAGCAATTACTTCGCTAGCTTGTGATAAGGTGAAATTGAATTGTGCCGCTGATGACGCTGTCGATTAGTGCCTAAGTTTAGCCTGCTTCTGGGAAAGCAATTTCAATAAACGGGTCGTAGGAAAATATGAGAGCGCACGTTCGAGACCGCCTCTACAAGCTAGTCCTACTCCTAAGTACATATGTACCTCTCTGCTCACAACGAGTTAACGATCAATCCTTCTACGTGAGTCGTGGGTGACTATTTTCTAGCCAGCGTCCGAAATAACGTGTTGTCGTTGAACATTTCGTGTTTCGCGAGATGCAATACAAGAAAATTGTTCTGCTGCCAAGGGACAAGGTATACGCTCAAACACGTTCTACGTGATACTTCTCAGGGACAATTTTAATCTCAAAAGTATTTTTAATTATATACATATACGCACGTATACTTTCTTTTACATTTATTTTTCTATCCAATGAGACTTCATTACAAACGACATTACTTTTTGCGACTTAAATTATACGTATACTTAATAACATTTTTACTCTTTATACTTATTTTTCTAGCAGTTTTCTAGACTTCATTACAAAGTATATTTTTATGAACGCCGCTATTAAGTTTCAGTAAAAAACTCGGTAAAAGATACGTGTTTTTTTTTACGGCTAATGGTCGTTTCTACTAATATAGATTAACTTTAATCTTGGCTCTATTTATTCTTTTATTTTTGCTAGTTTTAACATAAGAATTAGAAAGAAAATAAAAAGTAAATTACATCAAGATTCAAGTTAATCTACGTTTGTAGAAACGGATATTAATCGTGATAAACAGATATTATTTTTTATTAAAGTTTAATACACACCAAAAAATATATACTGAACGCAAACAATAGTTATTTGTTTCATGTATAATGTTTTAAAAGTTTATAGATACATCCTCTAATTTATTATATTATATTAATCTGTTATATTCATTACAAACATCAAGTTTATTCAAAATATATTGCGAATTCTAGTGAATTTTATATTTCAATCAAAATTATTGAATTATAACAAATTTACTTTGATTTAATTTGCTTATTTGTGAAGTCGCTTTTTCCGTTAAAATTTCATAATAACATTCTCTTTTCAAAAGAAAATAAATATTAATTGTTTTACATCTATAATAATGAGTTTTCCTAAAATTTGTAATATAAGTACATTAGAATGTTATTATGAAAAAAATACTCTTTGTTAAAGTTAACCATTACTTAAAAGGAAGAAAGTAAATTGAGAGTGAACACTTTTTTTTAGCAATGGAATATTTTTTTGTGTAGTAATATTATAATATTCAAAAATTTTTTATAAAATTTGTGATAAAATTTAATCGGTAGAAAAATAAATATAATAAATGTAAAAAAGTAAACTCCATTGTACATTGGTATAGAATGGACGTACGTGAGTTCCAAAATAAATTTCTCGCGTGCATGGCAATGCGTTGAGATAAATTCTCAGATGCCCGACGTGACACACTGACATATCGACCTTCGCGTATTCCGTGCAACAAAGCAACGAGCGCACCGTGCGTTAATACTCTCGAAGGTTGTTCGATCGATCGAGAAATGCGGGCTAAATAATTACCGTTTTCCATTCCGGCGCGGTGCAATCGCAATCCCCTCGAATTTCATCGATTTTTCGTAGCGCGGCAGGCTCTCATTGTGCGATTACACGTATAATTCATCGTCGTGGTGAGCCGTAAATGCGCCCGCTGTATGGCCGTGTATAATATTACGTTTATTACGCGTTACCTCTCGATACACGACGGCCGGTGTGGCGCCAACCAGCCGGCCGCAACGTTCATGCCGCACACATTCGGTGTACATTTGCGGATAGGTGTTATCGTTCTGCGCATTTTATTTCCTTCCAAGGAATACGTCCGATCACCCTCGTTATTAGAACAGCCAGATTAGAACTTCGGATCGAGTATTTACAGCCGCGATACTTCGTGATTGCATAGGTACGAAACGCGCGAGGAATGCACTTCGGGGATCATCTCACAGAGCTGCAATCGCAAGACGGATGCCGGCGAAATATCGTAAGATTCAGTTTGCCTTCGTGCAATTTTTATTCTTTTCTCCTTAACGACTCGACTATCGATTTTCAATAGCTCTATAGATATTTATATTCACTTGTCTCGATGTTTTATTAACGAATACTTTTTATATTATATAATTATTAATCTTCATCTTCTTCTATTTGATACTTGCGACGCCAATGAGATTACATTAAACGTAACATTTTGCACGGTCTATTTATCGCTGTTATTTGTTCGTTACTTTGCTTTAGATTTTCCGTACTAACGGTACAAAATTTCCCCTTGTCTTGCGGCAAAAACGCATGCATGAGTTGTCCGATAAATTACGGAAGCTGGCTTCAATCCAGTACCTGGCAGCGATACGTATCGTCTAAAATTGAGAGATCTTGTTAAGATTTAATGGAGGACCTTAATTTAATCATTTAATTAACGATGCAGTCAGTCATACTAATCACGAAGTCGCACAGTTGCGACATTATATACAAACGCCAACTATTGTTTGGATTTAGAAGGATTCTTATCGTGCGAGATAATTTCAATCTTTCCACTCGGGAGCGCTTACATTCTGCGATCGCAGACTGCATTTCGCCGGCGAGTGATATTCTGCCGCGATAAACGCGCGATCATTTGCCGGAGATACTGATCGCACGGAGGAGGAAACGATCCCACGCCGCGTAATAAAACGACCATAATGATCCGCGCCCAGTGACGGCCAGTCGGCGTGCCGAGGCGCAGGATTAATATCTACCTCGGCAAGAAAGTGCGAACGAATGGTGTCGCGTGAAAATGCACGATCTTCGCGTCTTTTTACCCGGAAACACCGCGGCGTACCGTAGTTCCCACAACAATTAACCGCGGTTCAAGAACCTTCGTCACGAAGCTACACCCGCTAATGAGCAGAAAGAGCAGCCGGTAACAATGACAGTCCTCGACATTGGAGGTTAAAAGCAAGTTTGTCGGAAAGCTGATTATTGGAAAATTTAATCCGCTGGAGCCACGCAAAATCTGTATAATTAATTGATGGAACTGACAATCGTGTATTTATTATCTATATATGTATATGAATTATAAATATTACTAAGCACCAAAATCCACTTTAATCTAAAATGACAAGGATTTCTCTCTCATTTGTATTCAAATATTTTTGAATATTTTTTAATATTATAGTATATTAATATATTTAATATTAAGTATAT